TTTTTTTTTTTCTTGCGTTATGCGGGCCTCTCACTGTTGTGGCCTCTCCCATTTGCGGAGCACAGGCTCCGGACGCGCAGGCTCAGTGGCCACGGCTCACGGGCCCAGCCGCTCCGCGGCATGTGGGATCTTCCCGAAACGGGGCACGAACCCGCATCTCCTGCATCGGCAGGCGGACTCTCAAGCACTGCGCCACCAGGGAAGCCCTGAATTTATGATTATATTAAATTTTCTTGTGTGTTATATCATTATATTTTGCAAAATAGTGAAACTAACAATGAACAATAAGAATTTCCATATGCCTAATTTTTACACTGGAAAAATATTACATTAATCAACTTTTTTATTTAGTGCTATTATAAATGAAAGTGTTATAAAGAGTTATAAATTCCTTGGAGAAACAATACAGATCAATAATTTTTACTTTATAGTATGGCTCAATGTTATACCTGACTAGTAGTACACATTCGTTTTCCTCTTGATCAAATTCATTTCCTGTCAGAAATAAATGTATTACAGATACACGACTTATTTGATTAGAACATTAGAACAAAAGTGTATGTGAAAGAAGATAGGTAGCAATATGTCCAGTAGGGCAGTTTTAAATAGATAATTAAGAAGACTGCATTAAATTTAGATAAGACTGTTGTTCAATCTCCTGTTCGGTTATCACTTCTTTTCGAAGTGGGAGTAAACTTTTACATATTCAGAATATGGATCCTTTACATAAATGAGCTAGTCTAGTAAGTAAATTAACTAGTTAAAATCCAAAATAAGATAGCATTAGTCACATTAGCTTGTTATATATGTGAGCTTGTGTTCCTACCTAGGTTACACATGTCATAAGTTCATCATACTCTAGATTTCTTTTATTCCTTTGATTAATTTTTTCAAAAAATATTCATTGTGCACTAGCTATATGCCAAAGACTGTGTAGAAGCTGTGGGTACAATGGTGGAAGACACACACACAAGGCCTGCCTGAGGCCACCTCTGAGCCTAACCATTGGGCAGAAAGTGCTCAGAAAATATTAATTGATTGAAATTGTGCTGAAACCATATTGAAAACTTCTGTTAGAGTTGTCGGATTTAACAAATAAAAATACAGTATGTCCCATGCAATATTTGGGCCATAGCTATACTAAAAAATTATTTGTTGTTTATCTAAAATTCAAATTTAACTGGAAATCTTGTATTTTATCTGCCACCTTACTAGGGGTTTACTTCTCAGAAAATAAGTTCTAGCCTTGCCTTTACTACATACATAAACCATTTGAACACTGAAGATGTTTATCTCTGTGCCTCATTCTTTTTTTATACTCCATTTATGAAATTCTCTCTTTATAAATTATTTTCAATAATTTATAGGAATGGAATGCCCTTCTTCTCTGATGTCAATCAGAGGGGAAAGGACAGCTTAAAAGTCTTGGTTCCAAACTGGTAACTGCTAAAGACAAGCACATTATAGGAGAACAGTATGTGTTATCTAAAGAGACTAGAGTTTTACAGCCAGTTCTGAAATGTCAGACATGATATTTTTCAAAGTTTAGATATTTTTTTCCAGCAAGACCTAATACTCTATCTAAAGAAATACAGCTTTCCCACATTACCTTGAAATTAGTGGTGAGCAGGTTCATGGGCTAGGGGAGTGGCTGAGATGGAATGCAGAATCCTGGCGGGGCAAGGGGGTATGGGGTGGGGCATGAGGATGATTATATGAAGACACTGTGGAGAAGAGAAGGCAGTTTCAGAAATGGAGAAAGACTGAATTCAGACATTTTTAAAGAGCTGCACCCTCCCCCTCTAACCACCAAGGAGTAAAATTGCCCTTTTTTTTTTTTAAACTGCTGCTCTTCTGGCTAGCACAGCTCACAAATTCCACAGTGGAAAGGAGTGTCTGGAAGAAAAGGATGAAGTTCTACAGAGGGTGGACCGCACATTTAACTTTTATTAAATGCCTTTTAAAACTTTGTAAAACCTACCTATACATATATAAACAATCAACTTTTTCATTTAAAAACAAAACAAAAACAAACAAACAAAACTTCCATCCAGATTTGAAAGCTGTCAAAATTACCCCGTATGTTCCAGAGCAGGAAGCAAAGTGGATGAGCTGCCTTCCTGGGTAGGGATTGTCTGTCCTCTGAGGGGAGGTGCAGGTCTCCTCTGTATTCTCTCCTGTCATCACACCAAAGATCCAGCAAACTTCTGCATTGTTCTAAGATGGTCATGAAGAGACGCAAGAGCAGAACATCTCATTTGCTACTAACGATGGAATTCGGGAGAGGGTGGTCCCGTTTATGCTCTGCCATTTCCATCCAGGAAGAGGCCAAAAACTGGCCTCCTATAAACTTCCTTGTACTGGGTTCCTGACCCCAAGGCTAGAAAATTGGTATTTCTTTCCAGTGTTAATCTGTAGCCTTCACTTGAATGTCTCCCAGGAAGCAACAGGAAGAAAAACGCATTTGTGAAAATTTTCTTAAAAAATAAAGTATGAATTGACATTTCTTTTCCTACAAACAGCCATAGAAGGCTCAATACAGGAAAAAAAAAAAAAATCCTCAATATAGAAAAAACAAACAAAAAAACCCCAAAACAGGGGCTTCCCTGGTGGCGCAGTGGTTGAGAGTCTGCCGATGCAGGGGACACGGGTTCGTGCCCCGGTCCGGGAAGATCCCACATGCCGCGGAGCGGCTGGGCCCGTGAGCCATGGCCGCTGAGCCTGCGCGTCCGGAGCCTGTGCTCCGCAACGGGAGAGGCCACAACAGTGAGAGGCCCGCGTACCGCAAAAACAAACAAAACAAAAAACCCAAAACAGTCCTCAGGTTTCTTCATGTATCATGGAACCAAAACAGTTAAAGCCAGAGATATACTAACACAATTGATGTGCTCACTCTCCTCTCAAGAGTCTCTTCAGATTTTAAATATATTTTTGAAGTGGGGAGCCCCGCTTGAGACCACACACAGCATTTACAGGGATTTGGACACATCAGGTGAACTACTGGAACCACCTGGGCAAGCCCTTACTCTAAGCTCAGTAAACTTGACCTAGGAACAAAGCTTTAGTCTCAGGGGGAGGGATGAGTTCATGTGTGATCCGGTGACAGAAATTTGTCTCCTGGTTCAGCTCCCATAAGTTCACAACTGAATCATTTAAAATGACAGAAGACAAAAAACAGATCAAAGAACTGCTTCAGTAAAGAAATAGATTGAGGGTGGAGATTACGGGCTCTCAGGTCAGGCGACCTGGGCTCAAGTTTGGCTAGACCACAGTAGCCTGTGTGACTTGAGATAAATGAATACTAAAGCTGCTCAAAGCCTTAGTTTTCCCATCTGCAAAATGGACAGAATAATAGCACCTACCTCACAGCGTTGTTATAAATATTGAAAGACACCCAACTGCCTTTCAACAGCAGTCTGGTAAGTAAATCACAGTGTTTCACATAATGGAAATGCTAACAGCAACGAGAATGAACAATATACAATGATGCACAATAATAAGGATGGGTCTTGCAAACACAATGTTGAAAGAAATCAGACACAAAAGGAGGGCATACTGTATGATTTCATTTATCTAGAGCTCAAAAACAGGCAAAGCAAGTAATGTGTAGTGTTCAAAGACAAGGTGGACCTCCTGAGACAGCTGAATGTGCAACTGACATGTCACACCATGAACTAGACTTGTGATGGGCATAGGTGAACCGTTCCTTGAGGACCCACACAGAACATGGCTTACCTTCACAACTACAACTTGAATGACAAACTGTCTACGTTCAATCACATACCCCATGGCTGCTTTCACACAGGCAGACAGAAGGAAACTCCTGCAACAATTATCCAGCTATAGTCAAGGCAAAAATCTAGGTCCAGAGGGGAAAGACTAGGGATGTTTTAACTGGATTAACCCCATGGGCTGGCTTCAGTCTTCGTTGATCATATGCATTATCACCCCACAACTCTTTATTTTGCTGCGTTTTGTAGACATGTATGGATACAATGTGACTATAAATGGATCCAAAATGGCTGTGCAGGCTGCATATCAACTCTTACTTTTTTGCTTCTATGTAGTATAAGCAAAATGTTTCTGAATAAGTGGAGGAACCTGAAAGTAGCTCTTGGTGAGACTGGTTCCCTGACCATGTCTTTTTTTTTTTACACATATTGACATCCTTTTTTTTTGTTTATATATACTCTTTTCCATTATGGTTTATCACAGGATATTGAATATATCCCATGCTATATAGAGAGTAGGACCTTGCTGTTTATCCATCCTGTATCACAGCTGCTAATCCCAAACTCCCAGTCCTTCCCTCCCACACCCCCTCTCCCTTGGCAACCACAAGTCTGTTCTCTAAGCCTGACCATGTTTTTAAACCTTCATGAATCCACACGAAGACAAAATATTTCCAACCACAATTTTGCAGGATCGTTATGCAGCTACTTTGCACACTAATGCAAATTTATACCACAGAATTCTGTTTGGTTCTTGTCAGGTGATGGCAACAAAGTGGATGTGAGGTGTTATTCCCTCAGACATACACAAGGCCCACATTGTTGAACTGTTGTGCTTCTGGGCCTAGTTTGCATGTGGGAACTACACAATTAGGAATACTCTGCACTACCCTCAGAATCTGTGGAGAAAGCACAAACTGCATCTCAGGCCTTAAAAGCCTCCTTACCCTCTTTCCCTATTCCTTGAATGAACAAGAGAGGCTTCCAGATGCTTTGTCTTCACTCTGGGCGCAGTCAACTGGCTCGGCTCTCCCTCTCAACCTCTCAATCTGACTGTGTTTTTCCTCTACACTCCTCCTCCTCTGACTCACTCAGTCCCCTCCATTTACCTATGCAGAGGAGGCTAAAAGGAGCACCGCAGCCATCCCCACTTATATGCTCTGCATATCTTCTAATAGTGACACTGTCAGCAGTAGCTTCATTTGAGGCAGATGGTTTGACGTTGATGGTGGGACTATTCTTTATCGTTTCATGCTTGTTTTTCTAAATATTTTCTTTCTTTTTCAAACATATTTTTAGATGCCGTGCTTCATAACTTTTCTCTATTACAAATACTCTGCGTGATTATCATATATGCACTTTCCATTTTAAGGACTTAATCTTAAAGCTCCAACTCAAGCTTTTAGAGAACGACTCCCATTGAGTTAAGGTGGTTTTATATAGCCCTGGGAAATCCTCTCAGAGTGTACATTATAAAGATGCCCTGTTTGGATGTTAATTATTAAATCTGCCTCAAAAAACAAAGGTCTTATTGGTTCAACTGGAAAAATCAGCCTCAAGGCTGTGCCAACCGGATTCTGTGTACCTACCTCACAAGCTGTCCCTTTGTTGATTTGTGCCAGCAGGACTCAGGGAGGGGTGCTGCGTGTTATGCTTTGCTCTTCAGTAAGACCCACGGGAACAAACTAACTCAGCAAAACGTAAGCAAACACAGATCTTTTATGGACATAAACACAGACCTTTTATGGACATAAACACAGATCTTTTATGGACAAAACTTAAGTGAACTCAGATCTTTTATGGACAAAAATTATAACTTTTGCTTGCCTGATCCAGGTTCCCAAGATGGGAACCTGGATCAGGCAAGCAAAAGTTATAGTTTTTGTGTTTCCTTTCCCTCCCAACCCACCCCTTGCCTCTACTCTCTCCCTCCCTTCCTTCTTTCCTCTCTCTCTCTCTTTCTCTCTCATATAGGACATTTGTTGAACCTGGATAGAAATGCACACTTGAATTTCTTTGAAATGACATGATACAAATATGATTTAAAAAGTTTGGATGTCATTTACATTTTCCAATATTAGACTTTAATTTTGTTTTATCTGTTATTTACAGACATTACATGTTTTCTGGCAGCCAGAGTGCCAGATTAAGCCTGAATATACACACACTAAAGACAACAAATATTCATTCAACTTAGATTGGGTGATTAGAATGTTGAGGGTAAGATTTCAAGACAAATAATTCACTTGGGTGCAGCAATGCAATTGGCTGATGAGTGGTGTCAGATGTCATATTATTTATGGTCAGTAATAGTAGAGCCAACTTACCTCATCGGAGGCACTAGAAAAATCTGGTAGTTTGTTGAATGGGAATGAAGTGCTACTCAATTTCTCATCTAAACTAACCAATTTGATTCATTTGAGAGTTCAATCTGTAATGTAAATAAGGCGCTAACCATAAATGAAGTCTGGCCATATCAACATTTCACAAACTGTGTTCTTCAGACTGTCCCTCGAGAGATGGTTTTCTGTGGGAACAAAAAAGTGGGCATTGGCCAAATAAGCTTGGAAAACACTAATAGGTTTGCCAACCATATGAACTTGAACTTGTGATATAGTTTAGCTTCCTTTCTAGTAAAATGAGAAAAAAAACTTATAAGATTTGCTTTACCTTAATTTTTTAAACAGTTCAGCTTCATTTTGCCTTATTGAGTATATAACGTTGTATATGTAATGCTGTATAAACAAATCCTTGAGAAGGATGTCTTTTTGTAATGTGAGAAGTCCCTTATCTTGTTTATTCTATTGCATAAAAAAAAGAGATTTAGTTACGATGTTAAGAATTTTGTTTATTTATATAAAAAAAAGTTATGCCTTGGAAGGAGGGAGTGAGAAGGGGAGGAAAGAAGGAACCTGCTTATATCAAGTGTTCTGACCCTCTCCATTCTCACCTGACCCCTCACACCTACACCTACTGCATAATTATTCAGGTCTAATAAAATGAACAACTTCCATTCCATGAAACCGCACGATCCCATGTGGCTAAAGAATACGTTCCCACTGTTTGAACACCCTCAGTGAAGGTGAAGGGTGTGGGGTTAGGGGTTCATTACTTTAGGAGCTCCCCATTCCACTGGTGTTTGGCACAAATTCAGCTCCAGAGGAGGCAATTCTACCTCTAGGTAATTCCTTTGGCTCTCAACGACCAATTTCCATATGCTTAGCCTCGGGGGGTCTTTGTTTAGTAAGGGGTAAGCCCTAATATCTGTAGAGATTGCCTTATGATTTAAAGAATACTCTCGTGCTGCTTTTGTCTGTGATCTTCACAATCCTACGAAGTATAAGCCCTGACTTCACCTGAGTGCCCCTTTCTCTATATCATTCTTTGTTAATGGATATGCTGGTCCTTTATGTATCCATTCTGGTAATGGTCTCTCCTTTTGAGTTATGATTTCTTTTAACATAAGATACTAAAATGAGGCATGTTTAATGACCTTCTCTTAGTGCAACCAATGATCTATTATCTTTCGCCTTAAGGCAGAGCTTTGCTGCCCTGTAGTTTAGGCTACTTGGTTATAAAATGCCTTCAAAAGTGCTAGGGTCTGTATGGGTAAATGTCAGAGGTTTCCTTTTCCTGCAAGTCTCATATTCTTTGTATCATTCTCCAGTCTTTTCCCCTTCCTATTCTTTTTTTTTAATTGGTCAAATTATCCTTGAAAATAATACAGATTATCTGACCCAGAATCATATCCTTTCTTCAAAAGTATACTTGTGTTTGCCATTTTGCGTCAAAATCCTGCATGTTAAAGGGAACCCTCCTACACTGTTGGTGGGAATGTAAGTTGGTGCAGCTACTGTGGAAAACAGTACGGAGGTTCCTCAGAAAACTAAAAATAGAGCTACCATATGATCCAGCAATCCCACTCCTGGGCATATATCCAAACAAAACTATAATTCAAAAAGATACATGCACCCCTATATTCATAGCAGCACTCCTGACAATAGCCAAGACATGAAAACAACCTAAATGCCCATCGCAGATGAAAGGATAAGAAGAGGTGGCACATTTATACAATGGAATATTACTCAGCCATAAAAAAGAATGAAATAGTTACATGGATGTAACTAGAGATTATCATACTAAGTGAAGTAAGTCAGAAAGAGAAAGACAGATACCATATGATATCACTTATATGTGGAATCTAAAACATGACACAAATGAACCTATCTATGAAACAGCAACAGAATCACAGACATAGAGAACAGACTAATGGTTGCCAAGGGGGAGGGGGTTGGGGGAAGGATGGAGTGGGAGGTTGAGGTCAGCAGATGTAAGCTTTTATTTATAGAATGGATAAACAACAAGGTCTACTGTATAGTACAGAGAACTATATTCAGTATCCTGTGATAAACCATAAAGAAAAAGAATATAAAAGAATATATAATATATATATATAGCTGAATCACTTTGCTGTACAGCAGTAATTAATACAACATTGTAAATCAACTATACTTTAATTAAAAGAAAAATACTCCATGTTCATTTTCATAACAGTCCCTACTGAAAACCCAAATGTCCATCAACTTGTGAATGGATAAACAAAATGTGACACACAGATACAATGGAATACTATTCAGCCATAAAAAAGAATAAAGTAATGATATCTGCTACAACATGCATGAACCTCTGAAAACATTATGCAAAGTGAAAGAAGCCAGACACAAAAGACCACCTATTTTATGTTTCCATTTGTAGGAAACATCCAGAAAAGGAAAATCTTTGGAGACAGAAAGTAAACTGTTGGTTTCTTGGGACTCAGGCTAGGAACAGGAGTGACTACACATGGGCACAAGGGATCTTTTTGGTGTGATGAAAATGTTCTAAAATTAGATTGTGGTGAGGGTTGCACAATCCTATACATTTACTAGGGATCTTTCCATTGTACATTTAAATTAGGTGAATTTTATGATATGTAAATTATACTTCAATAAAGCTGTTTTTAGCAATAGTCCTTCACATCTTTACTTGATTTAGCCCATTTCATTCTCTCATTGAGAA